CTGCATCGCAAAATAATCGAAATAAAATGTATGCTGTTCTGGTGTCGGTGCAAGACATTATGTACAAAATGCGAATGTTAAGATTTCCTACACTTTATGTTTGGAGAGAAACACCCTTTCTTAAACAAGTACCACAAATTAGAGTTTTTATCTATTTATAATTAAAATTCATATTGTTACAGCGTCTGTATCAGACATATTATGCAAAATAAGGATGCGAGACTTTCCTATATTTTAACATTGATGTGANGTGGTGGGGGGGGGGGGGAGGAATGCTTGCATCAAGTACCATATAATATAATTCTTATCTATTTTAAATTATAATTCATTATGTTCCAGTGCGTGTTTGGGACATATATATTTATATCGATACGGAATCGAATCAATATTATTGGAGTGGATCAATGGTTGGGAAACCACTATTTTTTCAAGGACGTTGGCTGTGCATTTGGGGTGTTGAGACTTGAGGCTCACAGTAAGCCGTAAAAGAGCTAATTTCGGACAAATCGTTTCCGTAATCCATCAAAGTAATTATCGTTTTTTATCAGATGAACCGACGAGTGAACCCGGACCTACCGCTCGACATTCAGACTCCGGCGAATTAAAAAAGTAATATATAAACAGAGGAGATCGCTTTTCCCACTGATCCTGTCAAATCAGATTTCTTTTGATCGGTTATTGATTTTAGAGAAACATTTCAATCCCATATTGGTAGTCTTTTCTTTTAGATTTGAAATTTTCTTTGTCCTAAGTGGATGCTGTTTGGAGTACCTCCTCAAGGTGCACGCTCTTTAGAATTATTATTAACTGTTTCTGAGTGTAGTGTCGGGTTAAATCACGTTGTGCTACTAACTCTTCTTTTGTTATGTATGTTTTTATTAGTATTACATCAAAGTAAAGATTAATGTATGCTGTTTAGGAATATGAATATATTAGCTACTTCTGAGTAAGGTACTACATTGAATTATATTATTGTGCAAGTTAATATTGTTCTTATGTTTTTGAAATTGTCATCATATTGTTATCATACTTTCGGCATAATTTCATGCTTCAAAAATTGCGTTGAATCGATTTGTAACACTATTAAAATAATATTTTTTGAAACTTTAATGGCTTTTTCTTAGCTATTCGCAATATTATCATTTATTTAAAATGTTTGACTTCTATGACTTCTTTTGACACATTTACGCTTGCAAGAAGTTTCGAATTTTATTTTAAAGAAAAAGAAACACTAACACCATTAAATTTATGTTTAAATTACTCAAAATAGTATTATACCAAGCAAGATAATATACTTTTTTGTTGAAGAAATTATTTTATTTAATTATTACAGTCCCGTATCATTGAACTACTCTCTCCTCATCGATAGATTTATAAAAGTCTATCAAATTCGTCCATAGATTTTTATTAAATTTAACTAAACCATTCTGCGCATGTTTGTTGTAAGCATAAGAAAATAAAAGCTTCGTTCCTTTATTTATTTTATAAGAAAGAAATTATAGTGACACTATTTTCTACATTTGCATGTTTAATCCCCAACTAAAGTAATGAGTTCAATTGCTGTGACCGATCATGAGGTAACTCTTAAAAATTCAAAAGGAGATGATACACTCTCAGATATTAAAGTCTTAATTTTGATGAAATTGCTTTTTCACTCGTTAGGCAGTTCAATGCATTCTAGGAGTTCAAAACTTTTTTTTTAAAAAACTGGATTGATTCAGGGGTTAGTGTGCTTGCTTGGCAATCAGTTACGCGGGTTCTATTCCAGGTAATGATAGAGTTTTTACACTCTTCTTATCCTATGCTAATATCTCATAATGAATTCATAATATTTATGTTGCATCATGCCTTATTCTTTTCGCGAAATTCGTAACATCAAACAAGTAAAGAGAGTAATTTCTGCAATTTTGCGAAATAATAGCTGAAAGCATTTCGCGTGAAAGAATTTTGTAAACAACGAAGAAAAGTTCGTGAATTTCGAATATTCATATTTTGCATTGCAGTAACTTACTATAATATTACTAAAAACTGTAATTTAATTTCTTTGAACAGAACATTGTATTACATAATTTTCTTAAATTTTTTTATATACATATATAAATTTCTTTTTAATTNTCGTGAATTTCGAATATTCATATTTTGCATTGCAGTAACTTACTATAATATTACTAAAAACTGTAATTTAATTTCTTTGAACAGAACATTTTTTTATATACATATATAAATTTCTTTTTAATTGATTTATTTATAGTCATTTTTTTTTCGTCACTGCAAAATTTTATTACTCCAGCAGTTCAGTTCACGTTAAGAAATTCCCCTCACACAAAATTACCATTGCAAAGAAACTAACATTACTCTTAATAAGGGGGGTGATTGCTAGAACGGAACTCATGATGGGCTTGTCAGAATCCGTTCCTCTCTAAACAAAGATGAACAGGAGCCGAGAACCGCCCCTTCCGATTGCTACCAGGCGACGGCTAGCAGTGATGAGCCCCCTTGTCTGCATTTGGCGACGTAACACCGGCAGCAGAAAATCTTTCCAATTACGCGATCATTTGGTGGCCGATGACTGGGTGCGGCGGTCGCCCCGGGGCACCCTAGCCACCACGCCTTTAGATGGCCACATCAGTGACACCATGCCGCCTTCTTCAAGGACGCCTCTCACTTTCTCACACTGAATTATCCTCGGAGGTTGTTCTTTTTTCGATCTCCCATTTATGAACATTGTCAATAACTTCTGAGACGTGATCGATATATTAGTGAATTCAATGAAAACGTCAAGTTATTAATGAACGCCTCGCGAATATTGAATGTTAACTTCATTGGAACATTGCATTTGTATTTTTACACTCAAATTTTTGTTTTTCTCATTGAGTCGTAAAAAAAAAAAATAATTATAGTTTTAACTTGGATGCTGAAAGCTAACGAAGTTTCTCCATTCTTTAATTTAAATTTTTTGAAGACATTTTTTAATGAATGAGTAGAAATAAATATTTAAGGTTTTCTTCTTCGATCTATACAACCTATGTTACCAAGAACTGAGTTAATAGAAGATTAATTTGTATTTCTACAATCATTTTTTCTCAAGACAAATTTATAGTTTTTTCTTGATCGTAGACCCCTAACTAAATTTCCAGATTCCTTACTTAAAAATGATGAAACATTTTAATGACATAACTTTTTTTTTCCGTACAAAATATTTTTTTCTCAGACAAATTTTTGTCTAAACTAAAACACTTAAATATAATCCTAATACCAGCTTATGCTTTCGTTTACTTCAAAGTGTTGTATTCCATTACTAAATGTTGTAATCACATATTTGCTATTTTGACAACTAAGCCTAATTCTTAACTAACATTTACTTATTTTTTTATATATATTTCACTTTTTTTTTCAAACACTGTTATAAAATTCTGGTACAAGCTTTCTGTTTCTCTAATAAAAATACAGATATTCTCCAAACGCTAGAAAAACTCTCAAAAAAAAAAAAAAAATTCATGGCTTTCGCCTAAAAGTATTATTTCTCAGCAATTGTCATTACAAATTTGAAATTAGAGGGGAAAAATCAAAATATTTCAATAGTTCAACAGTATTGTAACACAGAATTATATGAAGTAAAACTAGATTATCTTAACAACTTTAATCATTCAATGAAACATGAACTAAATAAGACGGAAGTTATGTTACTTCCATAATTCGCAGCAAGTAATTCGGGATATTTCTACGCATGAAGTTTTGTTTGAGTATAAACTCATGATAAAGGGAGTAACGTGACGTGAAAAAATGTGCATAAATAAAATAAAGTACTATATTAAATATCGTGATACTTAAATTAACTATATTTTTCTATGCGTTATTTCATGACAAAGTAGGCTAGATAATTTTCCTTTATTCTGCTTTATTTTTAATTAATGGATTGCGCAATAACATTTAAAGCATTAATACTTAAAGACTATTAGTTTCAATTCCGCAAGCTCAAAAAATATAAATACTATGAAATGCATGAACACCCCACAAGTTTGTGTTTTAAAAGTCAATTTTTTTAATTAATACATTGCGCAATAACATTTCAAGCACTAACACTTAAAGATTATTACTTTCAACTTCGCAAACATAAAAGATATCAATGCAATAAAATGCATGAATATCCCACAAGTTTGTATTTTAAAAGTGAATTGAAGTCAAAATTTCCGAATCATGTCATCGATGTTCAAATTATGGCCAAGAATGATGACGACTGCGAATGTTACTTTTAACTGCGTTTAAAAGTAACTTTCAAATTATGTTTCTTTTATTATTATTTTTTTTAATAAAGTAAGTCACGTTTTAAGAAACCTTTTTTGAAAAACAAATTATTCTTTGTTAGAAATTTTAGAGCGTGTTGAATTATATTATCGTTCAGATTTTAAGGAATCTTTATATCCTGCTAAGTTGATCCATGTTATCTTGCATTTTAAAATTGAACATATTTTACTACGGTTCAAATTGATTCAAGTGAAGTGTTCAATTTAACACCTCATTTTAAGATTCAATTAACAAATAGAGATTAATTACCAAACTCGCAACGTTTGACCAACTTTTTTCAGAGTATTCTACATTAATGAGTTATAAGTTGTGCTAAATTCAAATACTATTTTATGTATTCCCTTAGAACTAATCAATACATATTTTGCCAAACTTTAGTTGTAACTGAGAACAACATTTTCAACAGTTTATTACTTTTTAATTTTCAAATGTCAAAATACTAAAAAATTGAAAGTCGGGAACTTCTGCAAACAAACTGGTGATATAAAAGTAATTTAAGTCAAAACTCAGATCTGAGACGAACTTACAACTGATATTGAATAAAAAGAAATTAATGTCAATATTGCATGTCAAATATTAGTCTGAAGCCTTATTTTAAAGAAAAATTCAGATTATTTACATTTCAGCAAAAAAATTTTAATTCTAGTAATGAATTCAATTTATTTTAAATTCCACTGAAGGAAATAATTTCTTACCTTAGAAAAACCAAAATGAGGAATCATGTTATCTTGAGGTAGTTCATGTTTTCTAAAAACTGAAAATAAAATATTGAATTAGCATATAAAATTAAAATGTTTAAATATTTCAATGTAAAAAACATTGATGATAAAATAAAAGCTTAATACAACAAATAAAGTAACATTTTAAAAACTTTCATGTTCACAAACATGCTATATATCAATAATAAATATAAAACATAGGATGGGCTTATAAATAAATAAAATAATCTCAATTGTAAAAAGAAGCTTTAAAAACACTTTATTTTTTTAATTCTCTAAAATGTTATTTAACTTACTTTTGAACTAAGCTCTTCAAATACGAAATATTAAGTTTAAATTTTGAAAATTAAATTATTATTGCACACGTTATTTTTACTTATATTTTGCACATTAAAATATAAATCGCATGCGCATATTTCAAAAATTCATAATCACCATAAAATCAAAAAGGTAACCCATTTAATTAATAAATAATCATAATACTTTTTTTATCAGTAATTTTGGAAACATTTTTTTTTTTCAAATTCTAAGTTTTAATTCGTAAAAGTGTATCTCTAAAATTTAAATCTCCTTTAAAATAAAAAAATATTAAATAATTTTAGCTTCTTTCTTTTCCAAGCAAATGATGTAAATATTTTTTTTAAAAAAACTACTTGATTTCTAATAATTTTGCAGTTTCCTGAAGTCATAAGTATAATCTTCACAATTATTGATGCAATTTAAACTACGAGTACAATATCAAATTCATTACCACTTGTCAAGTTGAAAAATTCTGTTACTTCATTACCACTTGTCTTGACCACTTGTTTATGGTTCAGCTTGAACCATGCTATGTAGTGCTAATACATTGATCAATTTTATCTATAGTTCGATTTACAACTTCATTAATATTGCGGCAAATTTGAACGAAACTTCAACTAGTGTAAGTTATTGTATTTATAACTTCTGCGCGTTGTATTACGTGCAAAAGTATATATGTTGTGCTTATATTCTATTGAATATGATGTATTGTGTGTATAATAAAATGCATACTTTTAGGTATGCTGGAATCACGTTTATCCGAGTGCTTGCTTGTACAAATAAGTAACTTATCTGTATATTATTAATCATGTTTCGAAAAGGCATTGAACCATCAAATACACCAAATACAATAAAGAGAAATTAGGATTGCCAAATCATCATTTTAAAAGTGTTTAAATATTGTGATTAAAAATGACAAAATGTTAAATAAATAAAATTAAATTGTATAGCTAGTTAGTGTAGTTGAGGTACATATAAAATATAAAAACTGTAATTATTTAACTTCTCATTACGCTCATACAATACGCTGTAAAAAATTATGTGTGTATAAATCGTGCAAATCCTTTACAACTTCATATTTTAATGCCACAATGAACAATATTAATCGTATCTATCTTATTATAATTGGTAACATGATAAGATTCACCGGAAACATGGCATATCATGGTATATATATATTATTAAAAGTGATTCTCTTTTGGAATATATTATGGCACAACATACTGATATAATGCTATCGCAACGTCTTATAAAAAATAAAGCAAATTTAAAGGGTATCACGGTGCAAAAGTACACGGTACATGGATGATATTGGAACTTTAATAGAAATATCCAGATAAATAGATACTTCATGATATAATCTGATATTTTCCAGCTTAACTACTTTCCATTGTTTTAACACTGAGAAAAAAAGTATGGTCAAAATTACTAGAATATGGTAAAATTTACTGCGGTTCTGGAACAGGAGAACACCGAAAAACTCGGTAATTTTCATCGAATCCCTGGGTAGAAAATATAATAAAAATATATATAATTTTATAATTTGTAATAAAATTTGGTAAATGTGGTAAAATTTGTTAATTTTATTACGATATCTTAGAGCATGACATAAAAACCATTTATTTGGTTTTATTAAATTTGCTTTTCAGTTTTGTATTTTTACTAAACTTTCAGTTCTGTATTTATACTAGGCTTAAAGTTTTTTATTTCTTGCTAGAAATGTCATTATCATACAAGTACGGTAAAATTTACCACAATCATTTTCCCTGCGCACATTGAGATGATGAGGATGATTATGTTTTTACATTAGTCTATATGTTAGTTACCTAAATGAAATTTTTCGGTACTCACGATAATATCGCATTCGATAACTATCATTAATAATGTTCGCTATACCAAATCTCTATATTTACCGTTGTCAAATGATCACGATACAATAGTATCATATTCGACAATATTATCGTTTATTATATTGTACATTATCATATTGGATATAATTAGGTCCCCATGCTAATGACCATAATATCGTTTTCAATATATATCGTATAACAAGCTATTTATGATATAACAGGAGGATACATTTTTTAAATATCGTTATTGATCGTGATGTTTTATAAATTTTCATATTTTCAATCTCTGTTACAGATATTATGACACAGTATAAAATTTGGAGTGAATTAAAAATATATTTTAATGTAAAGTATCAAGATTATGATGCAATCTTAAAACAATTTTTTAATTATTATAATAATCAAATTAATTGATAAATATCACGTATTAAATTTAATTATTATCACGTTTGCTGATTTGATTTTGAAACGTTTCGTTTTAATTTATTATTTTTACTTTAATTTTAAAATAATACTCCTGATGTCATTGTATGCTCAACGCACACAAAAATAATTAAAAAGAAAAAATAAAGACGGTATCTAATTTATTTTTTTTAATCATCAAGACTGTATCTTTATGTGAGTTTGTCGTTTCTTCGAGCTGCATGGGTAGAAAATAGAAAGCTTATAAAGAACGGACAGATATGGCAGCAAAGAAAAAAAGAAGTACTTTTTTACCGCCAGTGTTATCTACGGACCACCCATGGATAAACGAGTCAAAGCTCTCCCTTAGCCGATTTTAATGGCTTTGTATGCGACGTCTGCCAACACTTTATCAATCCAGACTTTCAGAATTTGGTCATTCTTTTCACACGCAGGTAGGAGTAACAGCTTAGAGCTACTTTTCTTCTGAATAACATAAAAAGAACCGTTGGATTCCCTTAGAAATATCTGCTAATTTATTTTCCCATTGATATATATATATATATATATATATATATATTGTGACGTAGCTTTTCAACATTTAAAAAGTTATATCAAAACTGCTTTGTTTAAACTAAAATATATGAAAAATCTTCTCCCAGTTACCCTTATTTCATAAATTGAATAATTGAAGTATTTAACATGTTTGTCTAATTTAAATTTTGATCAATTCTCTCAAGCGAGTATGCATAGTATAGAATCTAAATATTGCTTCCAATTTAAAACACTAAAACTGTGATTTTTTTTCCCTTCGTGAAAAAGCTTTAAAGATTATCCTTGACAATCAATTATATAAACCTCTTCATTACGTACTTTATTCTATATTCAAATAAAAATTGTATCTAAAACAGAATTTTATCGATCATTTCAGATTTCATCATTATTTGAGAAGTCCTAATGTACTGACTTTTTTACGCCATTTGATTTAAGTCTAGCAACCAATTATCCTATATAAAATTACATACATTTAAGTAAATGTAATTGTTTTATAACGTAACACAAAGTAACATGTTCTTTCTACATATACTAAAATGTAAAGAATTTATTTTATAATTTTTTTTTTTTGCTTATATACACTTCAATTGTCTTTCAAAAATGACTTTATTTAACATGAGTAGTCGAGGTTCTATAAAGGAAAATTAAGAAATAAAACAGCATGCATATGGGAATTTTAAATGAATCAATCATAATTCAATGCCTAGTTTTTTGTATGGAAGTTTCTCCTTCTTACATCTCTTAGGGAAGGAAAATTCCGTGTGCTGCGGAGAAACAGCGAAGTTGGGATACGCGCTTTGGTTATTATTTTGCTGTTGGGGTGAGTTTTTTTTTACATACTTTAAACATACTTCTTTTTTCTTCAAATTATATGGATGATATTAAGAAAAAGAACAAGTTTACTCTTATTCCTAAACAATATTAATAATTAACGGTAATTATTAGAATTATTAATGTAATTAAATATTTTTTAAACCATTTCTGCTAAAATCATTGATACACCCCCCCAAAAAAAAATGGTTCCTTGTTAAACCATAATACTATACGGTGCAAATTTGTTGCAACTTTATTAAGAGATTGAACTGAAACCATGTTTCCGTTCAAGTTCAACTGTAATAGAGCTTAAGTATATCGTGTATTAAAGTTTGAGAAATGTATGGTACTATGGTTCAACTTAGCACCCTATTAAGGTTACAGCAAATTTGCACCATATTGTGGTTCAACAGGTTCCAAAGTTCAAATAGAGAATTTTTAAAAATTAATATCTGCAATTAATATCCTTAGCGTGTGATTTTTAAAAATTAAGCGTAAGAAAAAAGAGGAAACTTTCCATGAACTCAATTTACTTGCCAACATACTATACTTTCCTTACGTAAAATTAACCCAGTAAATGATAAATAAATAAAATCATATAAAAGAAAAAGGCAGGGAAGAAAAAAAGCTAAGTTTGATCCTTTTGAAATGAAATATAACATGTGAAGGACTAAAACCTCTATTATATGATTCGTCGAGAATAGCAGCTCATTTTTCATGTGCTCAGCGGGGAAACCATCTCTTTTTATTAATGTTTAAGTTAAGACAGTCTCATATGTTAAATGACGACAGTTTAATACTAATAGTGCTCTTAAGTGTTGTCATTATTTAAAAGATTAGAAAAGATAACCACGGGTTTGTTGACGTAACTTTTCTCAATTTATAAAATGTTCCTTTATCATTTAATTTGTTTTTCTTTTTGTTTTATAAAGGAAATTTCGTTTAACAAAATATGAGTTTACTTACTCATGCCTACATATTTTCGTATTGTTTTACATTTTAAATTATTTTGCAATTATCGTTTTTTTTTAAAAAAACATTTAAAAAAAGTTATTTATAAGTTTATACAAACAAATGTTATTTTAGCATATGCATGGTATAACATTATAGTATAC